TTGAAGTGAGGATTCTCGCCCCTATTTATAAGGGCGAGCTACCTGTTCCACACGCGCGAGTAGGGCGAGTTCGACCAACTGTCTTCCACTCGTCCGTACGACCGCGCGCCTCCACTCTCTTTGGTGTCAGGAAACGCGTTCCATTTGTCAGAGAATGTCAGAGTTCGTTATAGTTATTGACTACTCATAGCTATAGCACGCCGCTTGTCCTCCCTTTCACGTGCTGGAGATTCCCTTGTGCGCTCCAATATTCGACCAATTTTATACGACCACGCCCTCTCCAACCATCCTCCCTCGACCAACTCTTCGAGTAACTCGTTGCTGTCGACCACGTCTGATCTCATTAGTCTGCTGTCCGCTCTCTGTCCTTCATTGCAGGTGTCTGGTCCAAGTGAGGATTCTCGCCCCTATTTATAAGGGCGAGCTACCTGTTCCACACGCGCGAGTATGGCGAGTTCGGCCAACTGTCTTCCACTCGTCCGTACGACCACGTGCCTTCACTCTCTTTGGTGTCAGGAAACGCGTCCCATTTGTCAGAGAATGTCAGAGTTCGTTATAGCTATTGACTACTCATAACACGCCGCGTGTCCTCCCTTTCACGTGCTGGAGATTCCCTTGTGCGCTCCAATATTCGACCAATTCTATACGACCACGCCCTCTCCGACCATCCTCCCTCGACCAACTCCTCGAGTAACTCGTCTCTGTCGACCACGTCTGATCTCATTAGTCTGTTGTCCGCTCTCTGTCCTTCATTGCAGGTGTCTGGTCCTACTCGACCATATCATTCGACCCGTTCTTATTTAGGTAATCCGACGAACCGGTCTATTTTCTTCGGTTAGCCCAGCAAACCGGTCTAGTATCCAATATCCCATATCAAATATTATATAATTAAAATACTTCTTGTTTTATTTGTTCAATATGATACTTATATATTATATTAAAAAAACTAATATAGTAAATAAAAAAGTTAAAAGTAAGGATTTTTTAGGTAGTTCATTTTCTAATTAAAATATAAATAAAATATGATGTGTATTAGTGTATTACTAATTTGCCATTAAATTTATGTCAAAGTAAGGATTTTTTAGGCATTACGAATTTTTACAAAAACACTCCTCCTTTTAAAGTAGTATAGATATAGATATAAAAAAAGTTAAAAGTAAGAGTTTTTTAGGTAGTTCATTTTTTAATTAAAATATAAATAAAATATGATATGTATTAGTGTATTACTAATTTGTCATTAAATTTATGTCAAAGTAAGAGTTTTTTAAGCATTATGAATTTTTACAAAAACACTCATGCTTTTAAAGTATTATAGATTATAGATTATAAATTATAGATAGATTATAAATATAGATATAGATATAGATATAGATAGATAGATAGATAGATATAGATGAACACCACAATCAAGATATGTCGGACCTTTTTTTTTAAGAAAATGTGAAAAAATAATGGGCAATCAATAAAAAAATATGATCCGCATCTATCTCTTCATTTTAAATGGTTAAGAGATTTTCTGTAAAAGAAATTAAATGGTGAAAAAATTTTCAAAACCAATCAAGAAAAATATCCGCACCTATATAATTGGAGAGGGATTTCTCGCCCATAAAATGATTTTTAACATGATTTTTAAATTGATTTGAATATATTTTTTTTTCTAAATAATTAGATAAGTTTTAACATTAAACACCTAAGATTAGCTGATTTTGTTAGCATTAAAATAGGATACGAATTAGATGGTAAATGCATGATATTAGTAAAGTGAGATTAAATGTGAGATTTTTAAATTAGTTTCACAAATAGGAAATCAGAGGTGTTGTTGACCAGATTTTAAAAGTTTCCACAAATGATTTATTTACCGCTCTTTTTCAATATGTATAGATTAAGATTTCTCATTAAGTAATCGATAAGTATACTGATAATTTTTTATATTCGCATTAACTTATAGTGAATATTGGAATGATATATTGCCATGTAAAATAAAAGGTCAAATTTTCTATATCGTAACATCCATTTTTAAAATATGCACTCATATTTTTTTTTCCTGAAAAACAGTATATGAAATTGTTTTGCTCCATTTTTTTTTTCCTAATTTCATGTGTTTCTAAAACCTTTTTTATAATATTAAGTCAAATATTTAATTAAAAAGTCAAAGTTACTATTTAGGTATTTTTCCAACAACCTTTTTATATTAGTATAGATGCGTGTGTCCGTATTTATTTTCCGAGCAAACGAAAAATCGAGAAATGACTGCGTAAGTACCCTCTACTTATACATTGAAAATATCAGAGTTTCCTCTACATATACATTGAAAATATCAGAGTTTTTAAAATTTAACTTTTATTAAAACATGCTTTGAGGGTACTTACTAAACTTTCTAGACTTGTATCTGGTTTACTTGCATGTCTGCTTTTAATTATTTCAGGATATCTGATCCCGACATAAAACATGTTTAATTCATGAAGACTTAGCAAAGCGATCGATACTAGTCTAGTAACTGAATTGAGATATTGGATCTGATAATCCAAATAATGTTCAAAATAACTGATAATAACGTGTTCCGAAAATAAACCGTTCAATAGAGGAAGCAAAAAATATACTGCATATAACCACCACTAGCCCCTCTTGAGTCCCGCCCGACATGCTAACCTGAAAAAGATAGTTGTGGGGGCTGAGCGATAATCAACGCGCTCATCAATATTCGATACTATGAATCTGTTCATGATAAAAAAACAAGTATAGATAACACTGGCATATAACTAAGTAAATCATGGTCTCACAACATGGCTCATCTGTTGGTCTACCGGCTGGGAACGCTAACCCAGACGACACGACAAATTGATCTCGGGTGTACACCTTCACCAACCGGGAACGCTGAACCACATGGCGGGAGATCCTGTCCTGGTACCCACTCCCAGACAATGCCCACTCATAAGCAAATAATCATAAACATATCTCAGCTATAAATACCTTGCGTTATTAATAATTACAATATAGCATGGAAAATACCCACCTTTTAAACTTACTGACTGGATGAAAATGCACGTGCGTCTGAATGAGGGCTCGACTCCTCGTTTAATCTACAGTTAATGGTTTTATCTTATTATTTAAAGTGATAACAAATAAAACAGATAAGACAAGGCAGACAAAATTAGATAATCAAATAATTCACATAAGGCAGCTACGGCAAGCAAAACTGATACCGACTTACTGGAGTGATCTAACCGGTCATATACTGTGTTATATCACCCTTATTTGAAGGGACTATGAACCGATTTAAGGATTCCCAATTAGCTTAATTATATAAGGCAAAATGAACCATTAAATCCAATGAATTATATGAAATCAAAAAATTCTGAAACTTAACAGTAAATTAGTTAACTCATACATGGAACTCCTGTAAAAATTTCAAGTCGAAAAGCCAACTATAGTCAAGTCAACCAATTAGCTAAACATAGCACTTAAACATGAAATCGACACTTTCTGGTTCAATAATTTCTCTATAATTCCATACTTAACATTTTAAGCTAAAAATCGACCATCATGATCACAACTCATACAACAATGCCTCATCAAAATATCAATTCAAAAACATAAGCATAGGCTGAGATATAACATTTCTAAGTCCAGACTAACATGCTGAAAGTCCCATAAGCAATTTGGGTCTCTCGCTCCAATGCCTATCCCTGTGGTTCGACCCCCTCGACTGATTGTCTTCATCATTCGTAGATTTGTTTTAAAATTTTAGCTCCATATCTGAACCCGTGGACTTGTCTGACGATTAGTCAGAATTTCTTTTCCGTGATTTTCTGGCGGCCAACCAGATCAACATTCGTTCTATCTGCTCGACTATTTGGTTCGTCAATTGTACGTCCTCATTGATCGAATCCACGCTCTCCTCCAAGTGGCCAATCCGCTCTTGGTTTGACATAATGATACACGATCAATTTGATTTTTTATTCATTGAGTTTTGGTAGTCGGCCAATACGCCTTATAAAGAGGAATATATTGAAATAATGAAACTAGCAAATAAGGTCCTAACAAATAATAATTCAATATAAACGATCTTATAAAATAATAACAATGCAAAGACCTCGTCCGCATCTTACGTTAAATAGACTCTCATGCGTAAGAAAAAATTGACACTGACTAATGCCTACAATTTTGGACAAACATTTTCAAAGACGAATTTAGTTTGTGTATAGTGACACTTCAAAATATACCAGATTTAACTTGACTAGTTTATTTATGTTTATAACTCGTAAGAAATGTAGAAATTGATAAACACAACATAAGATGAGTATGAATTATCTCTGTATTTTAATTTCTTGTTATAAATTATCTCATGCTCTATTTTAATTTCTTGTTACATATCTCTAGTGTTAATGAATTTAAAGTCATATGGTTATTTATATATGTATGTGTCAAAAGGCACATTTTCGAACATGGACGACTGCACCCAAAACTCAAAAACACCTTATAGACACCAAAAAAGTACAATGACAGTTAAAAAATGGTGGCTGGGGCAAGCAGGGTTTGCGGACCTTCGTTAGCCATGGCGCTCGTCACGGGTCGAGACAAAGCCATGCGAGTGCCCAAGCGCTGCACATCCTTACATGCGCATTTGGGCTCCAAAAATTGCCCGGTTGAGTCTCACTCTTCTCCAACAATTATTCGAGTTCTAGCATGCCTAGTGCTTCGCTCGTTTAACTTATTCGAACATTCATCAAAGAACGGATTTTGCGAACTCAGTAGTGTTTGAGACACTTTAAACATGATTTTGGTTTAAAACTTATAATTTTGTACATGTACAACTTAGAATTAATTTTTAAATTTTGGTAAACTATATATGTATTTGTCGAGCATTTTATCACAAAAAAATCTGCATTATAAACAAATATAAAAAAAACAACAAAAGAAAATGAAGAAAATGGGAAAAAAGAAAGGCCAATAAGGCAGCTCCCATTCCCCAACCGCCAAAGCATTTCCGTTCCCAAACAATGCTGCTCCTCCCGCCCCCGCCCTTATCCCCTTCCGCCAATTTCACCCGCCATCCCCAGCGCCACCTGCGGCGGAGTATTTTCCCCTGCCGACTTCTTACCACGCCGTCAGCGTCCTCCCGTGAGGTGGACTACTTCACTCAGTCCTCCGGTTATCTCTTTGAGCTGAGCTCTTCCGAAGCCGAATCACTGACCGAGTACAACGTACCAAAAATCGAGGCAATATATCAGAAGAGGCCTTTGATTCTCGTCCGCCGACTGTTTCAAACCGCCGCCACTCTGGGCAAGTGGTTCGCCCTGCGGTACTTCGACGGCCTCGCCGAGCTCGGTGATACCATGTTTGAGGTCAGAATTTTACCATTTTCCGTTATGGAGTGTTGATGTTCTTTTCTAATTTTGTTTTGAAAGCGTGTGTTGCAAAATTTGGCACATCAGTAGCCTTGGGACTTGGAGGTCTTAACACGACTTGCTCTGGGAGTGTTGATGTTCATCTGGGCAAATGGGCAATGGTGGTTGGTTGTTGTTTTTGGTCTTTAATGTCAATGGTGATTGTCAGTTGTTAGTTTGTTTGTTTTTGGTCTTATGAGTTTGCTTATGTTTGCTATTTACTTCAAAAGGTACTTATGCTTTCTGTTTGAATATTGTAATCTATACCTTTGGGTTAAGTGAAATTATAAGATCATTGCTTATAGTGAATCTGCCTCTTCATACATACAGTTTTCTGTTGAAACCTAAGTGATTGGTTTTGTGTAATAAACAGGTCTGAAGAAATTTGGACTGAGTTCATTGGTTTTATGAGAAAATCAGATGATATGATTTGTATTCTCTGGAACTTCGTTTTGTCTTTCATTTTTGTTGAAGCAAAAGATTTATACTCTCTCATGTTTGGTTCTGATCAATTTTTTCATTTTCGTTTCTCAATTTTGGATTGTAGGTTAGAGCTGCTCAATTGAGAAAGATACTAGTGCAACTTGGTCCGGTAATTTGCTTAGTTATTATGCATCAGACCAACTTCTAGCTCCATAGCCATCTTTATCTTCGAAAATAAATAAAGTTTTTTGCATTTTCGTGTCCTTTTACGATTAGCTTAAACATATGATTTCACGTGAGGTAAATTATAATCACTACCCAGAGATGTTTTACTTGTATTCTTTGGCAGAGAAAAATGAATATATGTTAACGACCAAGTTTCATTTGGTGTGCAATTTTCACGTGACTGAATATACAGTAGTTTCACTTCACAGCAGAGGGAAAAATCGGTCGAAAAACAAAATAATTCTCGGGAACTATGATGAATGATATATGAGCCTGCAGAGAACTCGTTTTAAAATCTTGCTCAAAACAGAGGCTACCAAATTCACTTCTGTATACAATAACAGTCTAATTAGTTGGTGGTGCGGGACAAAAACATCTTCTGACATATACATTGACTTAATTCTTTTATTGTGTTTTTTTAGAGGGAGACAGGAGTATGACATCTTGTAATATTTTACCGAACTCTCACCGATCACTTGAGTGAAAAATTATTAGTAGTAAACTCACATCTGTACCCTTGACTTAAAAAAGATATTAAATGCGCGGTTGATTCCATTTAATTCTTTAGAGTGTATGATTTGGATTACATCCAACAATTTTACTAATCTCTTTTCTCTTCTGCTGCAGGCCTACATTAAGATAGCTCAGGCTATTTCATCTAGACCCGTAAGTTCTGTGTGCCTTGTATTTACAATTATTCTATATAAATTGCAGTCCAGATATGCCCAAGTTTTTGGATGAAAGTGCAATAAAGCAGATATCATGGAAAAGTTCCATGGTCCAGATCTGTAAGACCATAAAAATCATGGCGAGAATAGAGATGATGCAAATATACTCAGTTGAAAGTTTCTCATTTATTGAATATTACGAAATAACATTCCTTGGGAGGTATGATGGAGATAGATTATGACGATTATTTAAGAGTTTTTGCTTCAATTATACTCTTTCAAATGGGGCAGCTGTACTTCAAGCTTGTGAGCTGTTAAATAGGGCAGACTTATACACTGATAGAAATTGTAATAGCCAAGATAAATGACTTTGAAGAGACTTTTAGGATCGGTTGCTGTCAGCTAGTGTTTAGCATGGAATATTACATGAGTTCCTTGATCGCTTGAAAGCATGGCTTTGCTGCCAAACGAATTATCACTCATCACATTTGAATTCCTACATTAACTTCAACGTAACGAAGGTTAATGAGTAAGAATTGGTTAATATTCCAACGACCTTACATTCAATCACCATATTGAGTCTCTAATTTTTTCTTTTTCTTTTTTTTTTTTATTTTTTATATGACTTTGAGAACTACATTTTGCTAATGTTTAGACTTGACACTGAACATTGATATTAACATATATCTTTACACTTTAGCAGTAATAATTTGCTCTCAAATTCTGTTAATTACAGGATTTGATACCACCGTCATACTTGGGCGAGCTTTCTCTTTTGCAAGATCGAATTTCACCTTTCTCCACAGAGGTTGCCTTTGATATAATAGAGCAAGAACTTGGATTGCCAATAGCTGCATTGTTCTCGGAAATCTCACCTGAGCCTGTGGCAGCTGCATCACTTGGACAGGCATGTCTTGCCGTTTAAGTAATTTTATTTGGAAATGATCCTGATTATAAATCTTTTGTGGTACTAATTACATCAAAGATTTGGTTTTGAAAAAATAAAAACATTTTGATGTTTGAAAAAAGGTTTATCAAGGTAGGCTTCGCTCCAGTGGTAAGGTTGTTGCTATTAAAGTTCAGAGGCCTGGTGTCAGAGCTGCAATCTCGTTGGACATACTAATCTTGCGGTACCTGGCAGGGGTTATAAGAAATGCAGGAAAATTTAATACTGACCTTCAGGTGGGATGAATAATCAAATTTGCATAATGTTGCTTGACTTTGAAAGCAGACCATAAACACTATTATCATCTGCATATTTTATTAGAACACTGGAGACTATGATTTTGCAGCCTCTAACATTTTGTTTACTTGACCACTTATGTAAGATCTTCCGATGCACTTCCCTGTTAGTAACGTTTCTTACTGCTTATGTGTAACTAACGCATCTCTGATTTGCAGTCCGTAGTTGATGAATGGGCAACAAGCCTTTTTCGGGTAATTAATTCTTTTCATAACTTTTTACACAATTTCAGTAGCCCACTCTTTATCCTCTCCTCATTGGACTCAAGGACATCGATAAGCTAAACGGCCCCACCCCAACCACCCTCCCCCCAACCCCACCCAATACAACTCTTGATTTTGTTCTTCCAAATTGGAAAGTGCTAATTTTCATATGCATTGTGGAAACTTCAATACATTTATGCTGCCTTCACTCCTATAGGCCTAGATTCAATACCTATATATATGTTTGAAGGGATCCTTAGGAATAATATGGTACCATAGGACCGTTGTTTTTTTGTGCCATGATAACAGTTTCCTCAACTGATATTGTGCTAGATTTAAGTAAAGCAACTTTTTGGTAGTTTGGCTTGATGTTGATTATAATTGTTTCTCTAATGACTACCAATGTATTTATCAATTAATGATACATTTCTTGTAGTGTCCTGGTAGTCCTGCTTAGCATTTCCCTTTATCATTTGCATGGACGAGAAATCTTCTTAGGTCATCGATTGAATACAGGTAATCAAATTGAATGCAGGAGATGGATTACAAGAGAGAAGCAGAAAATGGAGTTAAGTTTAGGTAAACAGGTTCACTGTGCGACTATCTTAACATCCTTTATGCTAGCTTTCTGTCAGTAAAACTTAGACTGGTAAAATCTGACTGCCTTTAGAAGACGTTGCTTTAGTGGATGAATATTTGATAATGGGCTTCTGTAATTTCTCTTTCGTATAATGAGAAAAACGAAATGAAATGCAGAATTCATAATTACCTTAAAACCACTGTTACTTTTTAAGGGTGTAGAAATTACTTCAACAAGATATTCAGTTTCTACATATTTGATCTGGGCAAAAATTACATTTATTTTTCTTAGTCCAACAAATATATCATAATTCTCTCTATATTTTAACATACTAACAATTCCGAAGCATGATTGGTTTTTCTGTCGTTTGATGATTTCCTCTTCGTGTTATAGTAGAAAGAATTTCATGCTTCCATATCGCCCTTGTTTATGCAGAATTTTTAACGCTATTTAGGTTCCTGAAGAATACAAGCATCTTTAGGAATTAGAATTTAGTTCATTTAGTGGCTTAGAGTATATACAGACTCTGATACTTCTGTTGATTGATTTTGTCTTCAACTTTGTAATCTTGATTGGATTATTGTCTTTATCCTGCTGCAAGGCTTAACCTGTTATATGAGTTTTTTATTTTTTGGAATATATAAGCAGTGAACATTCAACAAGTTACTTTACTTTTGAGTGTTATGCGAAAGACAAGATAATAGATCTTTCAGACATATTCATGTGTATATGGAGTCACCATACTACTCTATTTTGAACCAGATACCCAACACAAATAATCTCCACATGATGAACCTCTCAAACTAGACTTTAAGGTTTTATGGTTATAAACAGATGCAAATGATTGTGAACAAAGAAGACCAGCTAGAAAAAGTTTCAACCTCAAGAAAGAATTTCATTTGTGCTCAAGTTAGACGAGTAGAAAACACAGAAACAAGGATAAATCACACACATTTAAGTAGAAAACACAAACACTAAATACATTAGTGTTATGTTGATGCAATTCTTTGGTTCCGTATGGACTCCGCACACATTGGTATAAATCTTTTCCAGCCTACTATGTACTGAAAACTGAAAGTAAAATTTTGTTATTGGAAAGAGGAAACTTTAATGTTTGAAGTGAGAAAGTCTTGAAGCTCCTACTCTCTCAATCTTCTTTCGTAATTGCTTCAGTCCTGCTGAAACCATTTCTCAGGATCTTAATCTTTTTCTTCATCGAAATACTTTAATTTAATTCATATACATTTTGAAATTCTAAGCCAACTTTCTAACTGCTACTATTCAATCAGACAGTTATATGGCAACATACAAGATGTTGTTGTTCCTGAAATGTATGTTGAGCAAACAACTCGGAAGGTCCTTATGATGCAGTGGGTTGAGGTAATTATATATTTTTTTCTGTTTTAAATGTTGATATAACTTTTTCCTTGGGCGTTATAGATCTTTGAACAAGTAATGTAGCGAAAAGCTACTGGTCGTGCCTGTGAATAAAAATAGTGATTGTATAGGAGATTGTTAGCGCGGTGTATTGTGTTTGCACAAAGAAATTTTCATTCTATTTCCTAGTACTTTCACATACGCTCTTCAAATTTTTGCGACAGTCATTCAAGTGTGTAATTTTTAAAACATAAAAGTTGACCCAATAACCACTTACTGCAGAAGTAGAATTATTTCCATTGGATAATCATTCTTTTGGGCATTATCTTATGCATATAATACCAGGCCGAGATGAAAGGTGTATAACTCTTAGTAATTCCACAGATGTTAAAATGCTCCCTTTGTGGATATGAGTTATATGTCCTTTGAGAAATAAACTGAATAATGATTTTTAGTCTTAAACATGATAGAATTTATTATTTCTGAAGTTCTGTAACATTTTCTTTAATAAGGATACTAAAGTTTTACGAAACTTCTTTCTTCTTTGGCACCTATCGAATGACTGTAGGGTCAGAAGCTGGCTGAGGTTAAAGACTTGTACATGATTGAGGTCTATTCTTTAAACACTTGCAGCATATTATCTACCTAAACCACGTCCAATATATAAGTTGCTAAACTACTGAACCAACAGGTGGGAGTTTATTGTTCATTCAATCAACTTCTAGAGTTTGGGTTCTATCATGCTGATCCCCATCCTGGAAACCTTCTTCGCACATATGATGGGAAACTAGCCTACTTAGGTATGTTATCTTACTTTTACAGCCTTGCCATAGATCAGTGCTAAATTTACCCCACCCCAGTGGCTTTCTGGTATAGGCACCATGTCTGAGTATGTAATTGCTTCTTATAGATGTTATTGAGGGGCTAAATAAAGCTTTCTAGACTTGTAGTTTTCACTCGCATATGCATCTTGGCTTACACCATTTATCAACATTGATAAATGACTACATTTATATCGCTCTTTGTAATAGCTACACTTGTTAGGATTTGGGAGAAAGAGAAGAAATCAGTGGTGGGTTTTGTAGTTGCCGAGGATCCCATGCAAGACTTGTTTATATCCAGTGACCCAGTGCATTGCTATGAAAGAGCGAGGGCCTGGATGTCAGGTTGAACATGATAAGGGTATAAGAAAATTTTGTCACTAAAAGAACAGAGAATATGAGATTACCCAAACCCATGAATGACTTATTTATGAAATTTATCAAAAGAACAAGCTATAGTGATATATAGCTTGAAGTCTTTGTTTTTATATGATAAGATACACTCTAATGATTCATAGCCCTTGATTTTTATTTTTATACCTGTACCGTTTAATTGCTTAGAATTGTTTGTCGTCCAAAACTTAGTCCAAAGGGTACACAACCTGGTGTATCTTCATCAGACATGGCAGCATAACATGGTTTTCTTTAGTCTGTGATGCTAACTGTTTGAGCTGTCCGGGTCTTAGGATTTGGATTCTATTATATTTATTCAGGTTCTGAAAACGTGTTTTTATTCCGTAGACTTTGGCATGATGGGTGAATTCAAACAAGAGCTTCGTGATGGCTTCATAGAGGCTTGTCTCCATCTTGTAAATCGTGATTATGATTCACTGGCAAAAGACTTTGTAACTCTTGGGTACCATGACCATCTTGTGACTGCATCAGCTGATTGTAGGTTTCATACTCGATGTATATCTTAAACTTCATGTAACAGGTTTCTTCCTCCGTCAGCTGATAAGGATGCAGTCACAGAGGCATTGACAGGTTTTATTTGATGCCAATTAAGTCACTTAGTCTAATTCAACTTAGCATCTAGCCATGTTTCCTCTTCGTTATCCAATTGTTATCGTAGTTTCACTGATAAAATATGATATATAGGTGTCTTCCGCAATGCCGTATCCAAAGGGGTTCGCAATATAAGCTTTGAGGATCTTCTTGGGAATCTTGGAACGACCATGTATTACCCTTTGTGATAGCTTCACCTTATATTGGATATTTCCACTTTTCCCAATTTCATGAAATTTGCCAGTTACATGGCCTAATGTAATAGAACTGTTACCAAATTTCTTATAATTAATGGAAGGGATCTATGGATACCCCGTTTTGGCATTTGAGCGGTTCCTTTCACTTAAATGCACTAATATTTTATGAACAAAATTGCTTGTTTATGTCTGCAGGTACAAATTCAAATTCAGAATTCCTTCTTATTTTTCTCTGGTCATTAGAAGGTGGTTCTGTATTTCTTTGATATCCGTCATCTCCTGTGTACTTTTAGTGCAGTTTAACATTATTATGTGTCTCTAGTTCGTGTGAAATCTGCATAAAACTTACAAAATCTCTTTTATCGGTCCAGTCTTGCTGTTTTGGAAGGCATTGCCATCACCTTCAACCCGGAGTACAAGGTTTTGGGCAATACATACCCTTGGATAGCCAGAAAAGTGCTGACTGGTGGCTCGCCGAAGCTAAAATCATCTTTGCAAGCTCTTCTGTACGAGGTACATCACCCACAGAGGTTACGGTTAATTAGCTTTCTACAGTTATATGTTGCCTTCAAGATTCTCTTTTTGTATGGCACTTGTGTTTAACAAAATCGAGGATTCTGATATCAACTTTTAAAACTAGGATGGAGTATTTCGGATTGATCGATTAGAGTCGCTCCTAACAGAGGTGAGGTGATAATTTGTATATAAATATATCCATCATAGTCATGCATGTCATTCTATTTAGGGAATAGCTAATAACATTTGAATGTAACTTGAGGCTCACCCGCCTCTATTAGTTTATGCATAATATATTAGCCTGTTGTGTCTCGGTTCCATTATTTATATTTTGTAATCTCCAATGTATGATGTATGAGGCTAGTGATCTATCTGTCTCCCATGTATCTGGCAGCAATAGTGGCCAAAATTAGCTACACTTTGGTATTTAAAAAAGGAATGTTTTTCTTCTTCTTGTTATGTAACATGTAAAATTGCTGATTAATTTTGTTTGACTTTGAGAATTACATATTTTAAGGGAAATAACTGATTTGTTTGTTTTTCTCTTCATAATATGATGCTTCTGTGACACTTGATAAGCAGACTCTGAAATTGCATAATTTGCTGGAGATTCCATTGGTCACTCAAATGTTTCATGCTTCAACGTTACTGAGCTTTCCCTGGGGTTTGTCTAAGACCTATTAGTTCTTGATGGTGAGGGAAAATAATAAGAGATAAATGAAAGAATCATAAATCATCATTGAAGGGCCCAAATAGCAGCCTAACATGATTTTCCGGTAGAGATGGTATTATTTATTTATATTCATATCCCTGATAATTGTAAACCAATATAACGGAGATCATGTATTTGAAAAATACTAGGAAAATGCACGTGCTACGCACGTGGTATTTTTTTTTCAAATTATTTTTAGTATTAGGTTTATATTTAAAAGTATAATATAATTTTCTTTCATTTAGTTTAACAAAAAATGGTGTATTTTATTGAATAATGAAATATAGTATTTAATACTATTATCTGAACTCTATGATGAATAAAATAAAAATAAAAAACATTGGGTTGAAAACCAAAAATAAAATTAATATTTTTTAGTGAAAATGTAAATGCTAAAAAAATTATAGTCTTGGATTTTGTTATTTAATGATATCTTCATTGTGCTTAAAATAATGATCACTATTATTTTCTTTATAATATAGCTTTCTAATGTCATCCTTTTACATCATACTCTTTGAAAAAATAACTCAAATTTTCTATAACTATAATTTATAATGATTATTTTTTATTTATTGTCGATTGGA